CCTCAACCAAGCCTAAGCAGCTCTTTGAGCTAGTGGTGGTGTTTTTGGTTGGTTCCCTGGAGCTTGAACTTGTTCCCTCTGCGGAACAGGGTTAGGGTTGTTGGGATTAACACTTGGTGGAACAACTTGAGGATGATGCTCTATAGTCTCTACTTCTCTTAATCTTCTAGCCTGAGCTTGTGCTTTGTTCTGCCTTCCTCCTTCTTGGCTCCTTCTTTTTATACACTGCAAAACAAACACAAAGAAAACAGCAAACACAGACACAGAAACAGAAACAGAGCAAAAATGCAGAACAAGAAAGTAATAAAAACGAAAGCTTTAGTCTTGACAAAATTCTCCGGCAACGGCGCCAATTTGATGAGAAGGATTTTTCTAAGTGCGCTATCTTCCCCAGCAACGGCGCCAATTTGATGAGAAGGATTTTTCATTCAAATCAAACCTAGCAATGCTAACAACCTAACTCATGATTCAATTGTAGCAATTGTAGGGTTCGAACACCAGGAATACAAGGACTTAAAGTACTAGACCATGGAGGATTTTAGTTAAGCTAAAGCGTTAATAAGAGTTTGGTTGAGTTGGTTTAGACTAAATGAAAATGCGGAGTTACAAGAAATGCACAAAACATAAACTTTAGGTGAATCCAATGATAATGGAGAGCATGAAGTGTCGGGTTAGCAAGTGATGAGGAGCAATAAATTGCGGCTAATAAAGCTAGGGACTTCTAGTTAAAAGCTCAACTCTTAAGCATGGAACACGAATATTAATCATCCCGCTTTCGTGACGCTACTAATTACTTTGTTGAGTACAAACATCTAANGAACTTTTGCTGCTAGATATAAGGACTCTCCAAACATTAAGATCAAGTTCCAATAAGATCACTTAGCTCCTTAACACACTTTCGTGGCCAAGGATCACTAAGCCGGATAAAAAGTCAATCCGGCATTCCGACAAACACCTTTCGGGCAGCGGAACACCTAAAGATGAAGTTCAAGGCCTTAGCCAAGAACCAATCATTATCATCAACCTAAATTCGAGAAATGTGATAGTTAAGCCGAAGCTAGATTAGTCGTTCTCTAAATCTCCTGCATCTACTACCCCGACACTCGACAAGCAAACTACTCACTCATGGCTACGGGAAAAACCATGATTGAGCTCGAGTGAAGTGTGTGTGGTAAAATGCGAAAACAGATGTGATTCAAGCACAAAGACTAACACTTTAAGCTAAAGATGGAAACTTTATAAAGATAAGAACTTAGAACATCAAAGTAGTAATGCTCTAAGGATCGATTCAAGCTACAACGTAAAAGAAACGCTTCAAAGCGTAAAAAGGAAAGAAAAATCATACTTAAGTTTTCTTCGGGGCTAAGAACATATTTATAGTCCCTTATAACAGTACCCGGGGCGACCCGGAGTGAAAACGGATCACCCAGCAAAAGTCAACAGTCGACCAGGAAAAATCAACAAAATGCATTAACGATCTGTCACTCCATATTAGGGAAGTGATCGATAGCCGGTGCCTATCCAACAATCTATCCAGCTCTCGAGTTGCGACACTGCATCCTCGATGGGCGCAGGTTATGGGTCTTCTTCATCGGTTTGTACTGATATCATGGAATATCAGTTTCTTCAACTTATTCTTCAGCCGATATGATGCGCCTGGTCCAATGGTCGAAGAGTCTTGATGCTCCATCATAACAAGGGGATAACCTAGGATATTTATGCACAGATTTGGGGCACTAACATCTTGATTCTCACCCAAGAATGAACTTCAGTAGATTTATTGAGACCATCCTTTCGCTATTCCAGGTGCTTTTTATCAGTGAATCTTGATGATTCATGACTGATTCCTGCTCCTCTACTTCCTCTGTTCACTCCAAAACCATGCAACCCCTCTGCGTTTTTATTCCTCAACGCTCACTCAAATCCCCCAGGCTCTAATAAGGCAGATAACTCCATTTAAGCATGGTACCACCTGAAAAAAGGTAAAAGAAGATAAATATGTACA